GCAGGCTGGGATAAAACGAGAAAGCGTGCCAATCGCCGAGCTCCAGGAGGGGAAGGGATTATAAACCCCAGGCAGATTACGGCTGTTTCAGTACACAGGGCAGGCGTTACGCTCCCATCGCACTTCCCAAGCTGGATGGGTTTCTTGTGCCTCCCTTCCCAGTGCCGCGGTGAGGTCCTGTGTGCTTTTCATCCCACTAAGGACCAGTTAAGCAACTCCAGGAAGTGCCCATGCAAATGTAGGAGCTCAAAACAGTTTCCAAGGGGAATAACCAAATAGATCTCTCCCTGTGAGGCCTTTATTTCTATAGAGCCGCTCCCTTCCGCTGCATGCCGGATGAAAGGCACTACGTATATAAATAAATGCATTGTAATATACCATCCGCTTTGATCACTGCCGGCAGCATGGACGGGATCGGAGTCTGCTCCCAGATAACGATTTCCCTACCACATCTCCCCGCTCCATTCCCTTTCAAGTTAGGGGTTGATCTAAGGGGCAGTTCCTCGAAGCACTGCTCCGTGCTCGATGATGCCTTGGCTGGTTTCTAATATTTCCGCGCTGCCGCTGGAGTGCATGCCTGCAATCCAACCGAGACGTTATTTTTTCCTCCCACAATGTGACGTTGCAATCCTTGTCACGGAGATGGGACAGGGATCCAGAGCTGCACTTTGCTGCTCCACTAACGAAGGGCTCGCAGAGGAGTTTGATGCCATTAGTGGTCACGATGCCACACCATGAAACCCCTCTTTGCTTTTGTCTCCTCTTCCCAGGGACATACCAGGGCCAGTGGGTCGGAGGGATGCGCCAGGGCTACGGCGTCCGGCAGAGTGTTCCCTACGGCATGGCTGCGGTTATCAGGTCACCCCTGAGGACGTCCATCAACTCCCTGCGCAGCGAGCACACCAACGGCACGGCGCTGCACCCCGACTCCTCGCCGGCGGTGGCCGGCAGCCCCGCCGTCTCCCGGGGTGGCTTCGTCCTCATGGCCCACAGCGACGCCGAGATCCTCAAGAGCAAGAAGAAGGGCATCTTCCGGCGGTCGCTGCTGAGCGGACTCAAGCTCCGTAAGTCCGAGTCCAAGAGCTCCTTGGCCAGCCAGCGGAGCAAGCAGAGCTCTTTCCGGAGCGAAGCCGGGATGAGCACGGTCAGCTCCACCGCCAGCGACATCAATTCCACCATCAGCCTGGGCGAGGGCGAAGCTGAGCTCTCCGTCATCGAAGACGACATCGATGCCACCACCACCGAGATCTATGTCGGCGAGTGGAAGAATGACAAGCGGTCGGGCTTCGGGGTGAGCCAGCGCTCGGATGGGCTGAAGTACGAGGGAGAATGGGCCAACAACAAGCGCCACGGCTATGGCTGCATGACCTTCCCCGACGGCACCAAGGAGGAGGGCAAGTACAAGCAGAATGTCCTGGTCAGCGGCAAGAGGAAGAACCTCATCCCGCTGCGGGCCAGCAAGATCCGCGAGAAGGTGGATCGGGCCGTCGAGGCGGCCGAGCGGGCGGCCACTATCGCCAAGCAGAAAGCGGAGATTGCGGCGTCCAGGTAAGGTGGTCCCCGTCCCGACACGGTGTCTCAGCAGGGGTCCCACCCCGACGGCTGCGGTTTGATGGGAGAAGTGGGATGAGATTTTTTGTGGTAGTAGGTGCTCGGGGCAGGTGTTTTAGGGAAACTGCTGGAGGCAGGCAAGTGTTGCGGTGGGCGTCTGCTGGTGCAGGCAACGGTCGGTGCTATCTGGACCCCAAAGTGGGAGCGGGCAGCATCCTAGAAAGCCAAGCCACTGGGCTTGCCCAGGCTTCATGGGTGGTGTTCAAAATGGGGTGGATCCAAGCCGAATTGTCCCTCTGCTAACTCCGAGCGAGCTGTGGATGCACGACCTTCCCGACCCAGCTGTCGAGGCCATGCAGCGTCACCCAGCGCGGTGCGTTCGCTGCAGCCTGTGCAGGGGGTGATTGTGCCGTGGTGGGACTGCACTTGTGGGTCACGGTGTGACCTCACAGGCTGATAGCTGTCGCTTAGGAGGTACTGGGTTATTTACCCCATCTCTCCCTAGCCTCTGTTAAAGAGGGTGATACCCTTAGCAGAAGAGCTCCTGAGATGCTGTTTGTCCATATCCTTGAGATGCTGTTTATCCATATCCATATCCTCTTGGCAGTCAAGTGGAACCATCCCAGGGTTGGCCTGTGCTGGGAGGATTCCCAGCTATTTCTGTTCCCAAAAGAGGTTTTGAGTGGAAAAGCAGTCAAATCATTGGCTGCAGCTGATGCTTGAGGAGGGTTTGCCCTGCCTGAGGCTCTGCTAGAAAGTGGCAGATCTGGGTGCCCAAATAATCCCTACCAGCCTCAAGAAGCCCCCACTCCCCAGGCTGGCTGGAGCCATCATGGAACTGCTCAGTGATTCGGAGCAGGGACCTGATCCAGCTGAAAACCAGCAGGAGAAGGCAGGGGGAGGGGGTTATGTCTAATTTAGGTTGAAATAGGGTCCAACTCCCTGCTCAAAGCAGGGCCAACTCAAGTGCCTTCTATCTGGCTCCCAAAATGTGCCTGGAGCTTCGTGACTTGCAGCAAGGTCCCAGAAAAGAGGTGAGCCGAGGAGGAAAGGCTCCTCTGCCGAATTCAGGGCTCTTTGTGTCTCTTTTTTGGGTTGGTTTAATAGAGCATGGTCATTCCTTTCTGGTTTCTGAGCAAGTGCTATATATAGCAGCCAGGCTGGGGAAAAAGGGCTGGGGTTAGGGGAAAAACCCAGGTACCTCCTCAGTCGCCTGCGCTGGGTTAATTGCTGGGTCTGGATCATTCGTATGCAGAGTCACACTTGAAATCTTTATCAGTATGTCTGCCGATGACTTATCTGCAATGTGAATGAGACTCCCAGGCCTGCTTTGGGAGCATATTTGGGTTTGATGATGTTTTCGAGCTGATGTTGTACCAAATTGTTGTCAAAGCTTTGGAGAAAAAAAAAAAATCCCACTAGATTGCCAGGTAGGAAACAGACTGCAGAGCAGCAGAAAGACCAGATCTTTCCCTGTCATCTGGGGATGTGAATGCCTCGATACAAAGGCCTGAATCCTGGAAATGTGGAGCTCTAGTCTGCCGTGGGATGCCAGGTCTGAGAACCTGAGCATCCTCTGTCCCCCGGCAGTAATGGTCCTAGAAATCCATGAGAGCGGGAGTTGGAAGAGATGTGACCCCCCCCGTGTTGAAATACTTTAATGAGCTCTTGGCATATAATGTTCCACCTTCTAATTATGAAAGAGAAGGAAAAAAATCAAATTAGATAGCAATGCCAGGGCCTGAGTACCTTCCTCCCCTGTACCGCCCGGAGTAAGGTGGCCCTGAGCTCTGCTGGAGAGCAGCAGCAGCGCTGGGAGGGAGGATGCAGCCCGTGCCCACGCCTGTCCAGGGAGGAGGAGAAAAGCTGTGGGATTTGGGGACCACCCAGAGGACCCCGTTAATCATCAGTGAAGATGCAAAGAAATAAATGAATGGGAGCGCACGGCTTCGAGGCTACTCCGTCAGAGGCTGAGCCTGGTCCCACCAGAAAACGCTCTGTGAACAACCTGACATCTCCATCCCGCTGCCCGGCTCCCTCCACCGCTTGCGCTCGGTCTTAACCAGTCTGTTCTTGACTAGACACATGGGGAAGAAAGCAATCACTGGCAACCCAGGGCTTTGCTCTTTTTATGGCACAGCCATCGCCTCCGGTGCACAAGGGCTGCTGGTGTGTTGAAAAGCCCTTTATTGATCTGCTGCGCAGCCCATCTTTCGCTGCGCGAGCCGGGGACAGACGGACTCCAGCGTGACGCGTGCTGTACATTAGTGCTGGGTTACCAACGGTGAATGACGCCCGTTCCAGGAATTTTTGCTGCCTGTGTCCAAAATCTAATTCCCAAAATCTATCAACGATGAGCCCAAACCATTTGGCTACGGCCGGGCAGGATCGCAGGATTTAGGCTTTGGTGGAGACGCGGGGCAGGTGGGATTAGGCGGGCGTACAGGCTCAGCCCCAAGGCTTGGAGGGTGTTTTGGGTTTGCAATTCAGCTGCAGACAGGAGAGGTCCAAGGACCTTGAAATGCAATCGGAGAGAGCTGCTTTGTCTGAAACCTGCGATCCTTCAGCTGGAGCTCTTCCCCTTTGCGAGGGTTTTTGCACGGACGCTCTCCTCGGCTGCATCCCAGCATGCAGAACCAGAAGAGAGCAAGGTTTTACAAACCTAGAACCAGCTAGAAAGGCTGTCATATAATTAGTCCGATTAATTTTAAAGCTTCTGAACACTTAAACACCCCCCTGCAGTGCCCACACCAAATCGCATGGTCCAAATGGAAAGGAATGCACAAAATAGGCAGTGGGTGCATTGGCAGAGGAATCCTGATGCTCGTTTCGGTGGCTTTGGAGCTCAGGGGTGCAACATTCCCCATCTAATACCAACGTGAGCTCTGCCTTACCAGCACCTGGGGATTTTATAACAGCACTGGTGTGTGTCTGTGTATGTGTGTGTGTGTGTGTATTCTCTTCTGTCTAATAATATGGCTGAGTTCACTCTGCAGCCTTTCCCTTGGTGGGGGAAAATATGTGCCCACCCACGTATTTCATTAAATTTGTAAGAATTCAGTATTTTTGAAAACTCTACCGCTCTGTCAGATTTGGTTGGAATTGGCCAACACGTTCAAAAGTTATTAGTGTGGGAGTGATGGCATATAGATATATAAACAGCACAATCACATAAGTAAGCCCCATTTCCTGAGGAAAGTAGGCTAAAAACATAGTGTACTGAAGACAAGTAAATTGGATTCTTAAAGTTGTTTTAGTCTGAACAGAGTACAATGTTGTCTGTGACAGAGAAAAGTAAGCTCATTTAAGGAGTAGTTTTTAGGTTCAGTAGATGATTCTCCTAAATTTTCTTCGATGCAATTAAAATGAAATAACAGTTTCTTTCCCCTTCTATCACCCGTTTGCTGAAATAGTTCGTGTAAAGTCAATGGGCGAGAAGGGCTATGAATCAGGTCTGAAAAACTACCGTTGATATCGACTGTCGGTTTTCAGAGGTAGCCGGGGAGGGAGCCCTTTTCCAGCCTGTTTAAAATGAAGGTGCAGGGTGTCCTCTTTGTGCTGTGGGGTGCTTCATCCCCCTCTCCTATCAGCCAAGAGCCATCGCTCTTTGTGCTGCTACCCTGGAAGGATGAAGGATGCACTGGAGACACCGGCTCCCATCTCATTAGTGATAACGTTGATACCCAAGGCAGATTGTCCATAGGCACTGGTGTGTCATGGTCAACTAAAATATAATATCCAGGTGAGAGAGGTGGGCCAGAAAGCTCGTCCTCACCCCTTGGCTTTCGGCGCAGCCGCTGGACGTGGAGGATAGATGCACATGAAGCATCGGGGGGAGCTCAGGACCGACTCCAGCTCTCCGCAACGGACGATGGCAGTTTTCATGCAAGGCAGACAGACCCTAATTCTCTCCAGGATTTCCTTCTGCTACCACAGTTCAAGGTTTTGTAATTAGTGGCTGGAATACTGACGAGAGGAAAGGCCGTTACCAGTGCTAGGTATATGAGTCCCAGAGACGGACAGCGTTTGGCAAGCACTCAGCTCCTCTCCAGCACAAGGTTCATGGGGCCCTGTTGTTCAGCACCTTAAATAACAGCTCCTCGGAGCCGCTGATGCCCCAGCACCCCGGAGGGGATGCTGTTCTCAGGTTAGTCCTAAGTAATGCACTTCCAGGCATAATTATAGCCGAGCCATTCACCAACAATGAGAAAAATATAATTAAGCTCAATAGTCTCAGGAGGAGTTGGGCTACAGATTAGCACGGTGTCATTCAACTTCAGAGAGGGAAACTGGAGAAAAAAAGAAAAAGGAAGCGAATAAAGACAACCTGGCAGCGAGGAGGGGTAAAGGAAAATGTTTGGACTCGGCATGGATGCTGCAGTGAGGGCGAAGCATCCGTCCGCGTTTGACGTACAGTGGGGAGCAGGAAGGCAAGAAAAGCCCCGGAGAGCTGAACAGCAAAGTGCAGAACGTTGTTTGAGCCAAACAGGTATTTTCTTCAGAAAAATGGAAATGCAGCCCAGGCAAAACCCACAGAAAAGAATAGATTCTGCAGTTCTGATCCCAAACATTTTAAGTTGCGGTAATGTCACTACCGGCAGTACACCGAGCCATAATAATGCTGCTTAATGCTCTCTCAGGCCTGTGCCTGCAGCTCTGCAATTGTACTTAGCTGCATTTGATTTAAGGTTTCTGCTGGCTTTTCGGATGCCTGGGGGAGGTGGCTGCGGGGCTCCCGCATTAGTCTCACCCTAATCCCCGCCTCGTTGCTGCCGGAGGGGCTTTCGCTGCGGATGGAGGAGGAGGAGGGGGGGGTGTGGGTTAAGGGGAACGCTGTGGCCCCAAAAGAGTTGCGTGTCCCCTTCCTCAGATTGGGATGGTGGGGACGAGCCAGCAGCGGACTGAAGCCAAAATGGGTCACAGCTGAACCTGCTGCAGGGATGGGGCTGAGCGAAGGCTTCAGGGATCAGCCCAAGCTTGTCGGGGCCTCCCACCAC